ATAGAAACCGCTCCATAATTCAAGTCGAGCCTCCTATTTTCATTTTATGTCGAACTGAACGATGCTAACTTTTGTTATTGGTTTATGTGATAAATGGCATTGTTATCGTTACTTTTGTGTTCGTGCATTCGTTACGGTTTGAAAATATAATTGTGCGTTTTTCTAGTGGTTTAATTTCCGCTCTTTTAACAACACACGATTTATTGGACACACACTAGCGGGAGGAGGGAACGCTCATTGACAAATTTGTTGACAGGCCAAAGCTCCAATAACTCCCCCACCATAAACCAACAATGTTTTAGATTTTCCATTGTTATTTGAACCATTTGACGGAGTAGGCAGCAGCATTCATCGCATTTTTCATTCCATCCTGGCTCCCAACAAAAGTTTTGTGGCCAAATTAAAATTTCAATTGAAATCGTTTTGGGGCGTGCGTTTAGTTGGTTGAATGAAAATTTGTATTGGAATTCTTTTGATTAAAGTTTTGAATTTCCTTGACTGCTAATGTTTTTATTCAGTTTTTCGCCCACTCCCCCTAATCAAACAACAAAAATCATAGTGTGCAAAGGGGCCCATAAAATGGAACTAATGGAATTTTTGGTATAATTAAGATGAAAAATAATTAAAAGGCAATCGAATGGGAGAATATCGTTTTCATTACATTATCGAAATTCAATACTAAATAATGTTCTTTGAAAGGTAAATGCAGTAGTATGTTTTGAAATTTTCTTTACGTAGCATTTGTTTAATTTTTACAAAGCATTAGAATGTTGGCATTTTTATATCGACCCGCCTTAATATATTTTGGGAAATGTGACATGGTTTGTAATTGTTTATTCAAGATTTATATGTTGCAATAAATGTAATTGAATTGCGGTAGCTATTCCGGCAATATCGACATAATTTATGTTACACTGTTGTTTGGATTTTCATTAAATTTCCTCAAATTTATAGATAATCTACTATTCTTAAACTTGACGATAGCAAAAGTGAAACGTTTTTTTTGTTTTCCTTAAAGAAGTTATCATTTTGGTTTAAAATGCTCCTAATGATATCCATGGAAAGTCTATTATGTTTTTAAAAATAAAAAGAAGTTAACCTACGAAGGTTTTTAACAACATTTTAAAGGGGTTTAATTGATATATCGAATTTTGAGTTTTTAGTTTAAGAAATAGTTTCAAATTAATTGGTGTATAATCAATATGTGATTTCTGTTTGGTAAAGCTATTTGCCTGAAGAAAACTAACATTAATTATTAATATTTTTGCAATATAATTTATATTCGAATGAAAAATATATGTTGAATGAATATCTCAACTCCATTACTCAATAAGAAGACATTAAGGAACACGATCTTTAAAACTGGTGCAACTAACATCGATTTTACTGTTATTTTTCGAAGGCTGAAAAACAGATAATTATAGTCAATGAAAACTAAATTTGCATTGAATGATCGAGATGCACAACATTTTTAATTTATATAACTATTCCATCTAGTTCAGTATTAAATTTTTACTAATTTTGGCTTTTAACTCATTTTATGAGATTTAACGGTTACGCTAAGCAAGCAGTTAATGTTAAAACTCAAGTTATGCTGTATCTCATTTGCCAATGATTAATTGTTTTTTAAATATGCTAAAGTATAAAGGAAAACCTTCGTCTGCTATCATTAAAAATATTTTGTAGTAAATTCAAATGATTATAAGTTTTTAGGTATACAAGTAGTTTTCGATGGTGCAAAATCCAAGGATAAAAAATATGCGTAATTTAATTAAGCTTAATGATTCTGAATAAGACGAATGATTAGAGCGTAAGATCGTCCCACAAAAAACTAGAAAATGTTGTGTCAAAAACAAAACTCCTTCGGCAACATTTTCATTGTCACTGTTGTTCTACATATTCCTCAACCTAGTTGCTATATATTCTCGAAATAGTGTCACCTTGTGACGACTACAACAACTTTCAAAAAAACCCATGTTTCAACCGCAGTTAAAATAAGGCCTAATGCCAAGTTTACTCAGAAGAAGCGAAGACAAACAATCCACAATAAAGAGGACACATAGAACGTCTACTCAAGCGGTCGAAAGTCAATTGTTTTCTCTCGACAACGTATCCCTACAACATATTTCTAACAACGTCGTGAAAATGTGTATCTTAAATGACCATATTTTGCAGTGACTTGAACATAATATATTTTCTACTGGTTCCCGTAGGCTATATTACATATACATCCATGTTAATTTTGCTAGAGTCTGATTCCAAATTTCATGGATTTTTGAATTTGAAAACCTAGAACTCTGCTTATGTTTTCTTCTATACTCTTTTAATAAGTCCAAAAACTCGATTTATTTCCAAAACCATTGAAATCTTAATTGCGTTAGGATGTAACAATCGAAAATCGTCAACCAAAATGACTAGAAAAATATTCATAAAATGTAGAGTCGGTTTTTATATTGACGTCAAAAGAAAAAATAAGGGAAAAAACATTATCAAAGTACGTGTTAAGTTCTTCTTGGCCTATGTAGGAACACCTTTTGGCTTGTCGCAGGAATACCACCAGATTGGCCGTTGCACTTTTTTACAGGTACGTACGATATAGATTTTTTATGCAGGGAAGTAGTAGTAGTTCTGGTAGCGAATATTACCTAATTTGGAGAACGATTTTCGAGGAATCATATACGAAATGACAAGCTTTTGAATCACCCCATACCATGATGGTGAGTATAAACTCGAAACAAATCACATTCATTAAGTCTCGGGTATCATAATTTATGTATATTCTATTTGTCATCTCATCATAGGAAAATTATCTGAATGAAAAATGACCCCTACAATCTTGTACGAATATATCAAATTTTAATATCCAAGGTTATTAAACGGAATACATAATAAATTAAATAAAACTCTATTCTCATTGTCACCAATAATAATTTTGTTTGTCCCCCAAAAACAGAAAAAAAGACAAACAAAAAGTGAGAAAAAATCCATTAGTAACAAATCGTCGCATCGTTAGTGAAAGATGGATGTCGACCGTCGTTGACGATATAACAGCGACATGCATGATTTTTATCAAATAATAAACGTCTACGCAATATTTCAATTGACACATTTCATGTGTCGGCCACTTTATGGCAGCCATACGAAAAGCGACATCATCGTAGTGCTAGCTGATCGTATAGTAGGTACCTGTCTTTTCAAAGAAATCTCTTTCAAGTAAAAAATAACAACTCAAGGAGTGGCTCACGTCTTCTTGCAACGGACAGTCGCCGCCATGCATCGTTGTTGAGTTTTCCTTTAACGAAAAATCAAATGTCAACGAACTGTCAAATTTGTCAAAAATAAAATTTTATGTGTACGTCATAATCGTGTAATGGTGGATGTTTGGTTCCTCAATATCATCATTGCTATATTTGGAATGTGGGTGAGAGATACAGATCTTCTTTTTATGAAATATTTGCTTGTGAGATTGAATGTAATTGAATTATAACATGCCACCATATGGGTACATTTAGTACTGACGGTCTCATTTTCCAGCGTTATGGTGGCTGTCAGCAGCCTGCCTTGCTCGGCAAAGGGCGTCGGTATTCTTTGTGAAAAATGTTTGTTTTTCGAAAGGGTGGATGAAAATCGCCACCATTCTCCCCTCCCATATGTTTCGTTGTCTTGGGAATTTATGGCTATTAAGTTGTTAAATTTATGTTGAAATTAATATGATATGTTGTTGTTCTTTGGCAATAATGTCTCTGTTGTTGGTTATATCAAAATATATTTTGCACATTATTACAAGTCACCTTTTATTACACCCTTCATTTACGTTAAAGTGTTACACGCTCCCTTTCTGAACGATGAAGCTCATAACAATGAGAGACAAAAATGTTCTTAACAAACACAGATTAATTGAGTTCAATTGGAAATATTGTAATAAGTTAGTCCTTTAAAGGAGACGAATTCAGCCATATCCCATTTACTTTCAAAGTTGTTCCGTTTTATAAGGAGTACTAATTGTCGTAAAAAAGGGGTTAATTTTCCAAATGTTTTCTAGAATTTCTTAATTTTCAACGCACTTTTCTTCCACACTGTAAAATTATGTGAACAACGATTCCCCCTCATTTATGCAAAACCAAAGCATAACTATGTGCAAAATGCGTGTGGCAGAAAATAGCGTAAACATTTTCATTGGGGAGAAAATAATTGGGATGAGCAAAAAACATTAAAATATAAAAAATGTGTGTTTTTTTTAATCCCAAACTGACGTCATTCGAGTCATACAATTAGGAAGTGATGATTTATTTAGTCTTTTAACGCATTGCGAATATCTCGGCATTTTTGTGAACATGTGTATACACTTCTTAACTTTAAACAAAACAAATTATTAATTAATTTAGCACGTGTTTTGTGTGAGTCAAGATAAGTTACCTTATTTAATCAGCATTTATAGACAATAAAATCGTGATTCATAAAAAATGTGACGAAAAAGTAACTCTTTTTTTGAAAAGATGTGACGCATGAAGTTGATGAACCCCAAACCTTCATTTCACCAAACACTAACACGAAGTTTAGAAGCACCGACGTAGCCAGAAATGCATTTCGAAACCATATCGTGTGGGTCCAATCGACAAAAATGAAATTTTCATGCCATTTGAAGGCCATAATTCGTGCCAAAGGTGACCAATTTCAACAAATCTAGACTTATTCTAAATTTTTATGCTATTTCCGACATTTTCTTTAATAACATTGAACTTTTATTCAATAACATTAAAAAAATGCAAAAATAATGGCGTTGGGCTTTATTGCAGTTTTTTTTATCTCATCCTGTACATTATAGAATTTGTATGGTTTTTGTTTTCATAACACAATAAATTAGTTACATTGTTAATTGAGGTTTATTTGACTTTATGAGGTTTATTTGACTTTATTTCTATCTCTCTCCGTCATGCTTCTATTATTTTTTTGAAAATTGACTAAAAGATATATTAACCAATAAATTGTTATAAACTTACCTTTCTTGGGATCCATATTGAACTTTTTGCGTCCCATAGACATTTGTTTATCTTTATTGGAATGTTTAGAATCTTCGGGCACATCGAGTGCCTCCATTTCGGATACCACTTCACAGAGTTCATCTTTGATTTGCTGGAAAAGGAATAAAATTAATTAATTAAAGACAGCCAATTTAAATAATGCTAAACGTACAACAGATGTATTCTTTCTGTTCTAAAGTTCTGTTAAATAACATCATTATATTTTTATGTAAATTGAATTATTCATTTACTAAATTAATTATGAAATAATTTAATTTTAAGAAATATTTTAAATTGAAATTCAAAAACATAAAATTGAAAAAAAAAAATATATCAAAATTAATTCAGTTTGAATTCAAAAGTATTCTTCCTATTAAAGTTAAAAATAACCTTATCTTACGAGACCCATAATCAATCACTGCACAATAATATTTCACCAATAAAATCTCCATTTCAAAAATCTCTCAAGCTTTTCATTTTCAATTATATGTATGGAAATAAATAAATATATAAATTGTTTTTCTTTGTAATTGCATTATTCAATGTGCCTTGTTGTACCTGTTACCAAACGTCAAAATGCGATTCTCATTATCTGTTCGATTTTTTCCAATACTGTTTTTAACTTATTTTATTATTTTTCTGACACTTTGTCGATTTCGAATACAATATATGTATGTGTATGAATTTTTAATCGCCTTTGTCAGTTCCCATTGAAGTAGAGGTGGAGTGCAATAAACTCAATAAATGATTGTACTATGACATAATGGAATGTGTGGATTCAATGATTTAAAGCTCAGAAGCTTTTTTGTTTAAATCTGCCAAATGTTTGTTTATTTTCTTAGCAAAACATATATAACAATTTTTTCATCTTTTTGTTACCCGTTAATTAATTTGTTGCTACCCCACAAAAATGTCATTAGCAAGTAATCGTTTTGTTTTATAATTCTTGATATCTGCGAGAAAGAACTGAGAAAACTTCTACCAAAAATCGATAAATGTTTTAAAAAATCTATTTATTCGATATCAAGAACAAAGGAACTGACACACTCCTTTACTGGTAATTCAAATGATAGGTTGTTGTCATTAGGTTTTGTTATATGGAGAGTGGCTCACGTGGGTCCGAGAATTTTTTTTTTCATTTTTCAATAACCTAAAGACAATTTGGTGTTTTATATTTTAATTCCATATGTATTTAATATCCGGATATGCAAATAGAACTCCCGAAGACGTCTTTCTCACTATACAGTTTTGATTCCCAAATTGGAAAAAAAATCTTCCAAAACACTCCCAGTTCGTTTTCATTGCAAAACAATATAATCCAATTGATTATTCTATATCCCCCAAAGTAGAAATTGTACACATTTTTAAATATTCACACGAATATCAACTATACAAAAATTAACATTAAAAGAGTTTTTTGTTTAAAGCGAAAAATATGCGATTTTATATGGTATTACTATTACATTAAACCGGAATTTAACAATAGCTTTTTTCAAACTTATGTCGTTATTGTCAACTTATTTTTTTTTTTTTAAATTTGTGTTTATTTTTTTTTTTTTTGTCAGATATCCGTCAAAATCAGCATTCTTAATTTGTGATATGACACACGTAGCCTCCACCACATCATATGTAACGGGCAAAATGGAAGGGGGAATGTTTCGGATTCGTTTTTCCCAGAGTAACTTGAGTGGCTTCTTAATAACAATTTGTTCGTTTGTCTGTTAATTCTTCTTGGGTCTGTACGACTGGTTGGCTGGCCGTCTGTCTGTCAGCTTGGTTGGTTCTCTGGTTGTCTGTCTTCATTGACATATCAACCATGATCTACATTTTTTTTTAAATATCGTTGACGAGACATGACAACGAAATTCTGCCGCCGGCCGGTATTGTCACAAGCACATCTCCCCCTTAACATTTTTTGGGGCTGCGCTGTAAAAATTGTCAATTTGACAGTTTATTTTATAGAAACACCAAAAGAAAATAATGACATATATTTCTGCCTTTATAATGTAATTGTATACATTCTTTGGAGCTTTTCTTTTTCACGGTTTGTTTTTTTTCTTTGATGAGGATGTTCTTTTGTATGACTTCAATAATATTTTGGTGTACCCGACAATTAAAATGATTAAATTCAAGTAGGAGAAGATTTCTTTGAAATGAAGAGACCGGAATACGAATGGCGTCAAATTAAAGGAATACAATAAGCGGAAATAATAACAGAGAAGAATGGAATTACAAATCATGATAAATGAAGAATTGTTGATCAAATCAAAGATCTTGACATTTTTTTTATTCAGTTTATTTGTCGTTTTGTGGCGATCGATCATTTGTTATTGAATTAAGGAGGAGAAAATCAACAAGGAAATATCTCCCCTTCATTTCAAATTAGGAATAGAGAAGTCGTTAACCTAATACTACCCACTCTGGATGGAATCTTCATAAAAATATAACTTTTTAAAGTCTCTTTGTTGGGGTCTCCTACACAACTTGGGAATTCAAAAAAGAATAACTGGTGTTAAGCCTATAATTGTAACCACAGTCTATATCGAAAAAACTTCTCTTGAATTTACAAATTATCTCACGAGAAATCTGTTCTACTCAATCTTCGTGACAAAAATCCAATGGTGGACCATAGGATCAGGAAAATCTTTATGAGAATCGATGAAGTATTGAAAATAGCTACTGTTCCATCATTACATTTTATTAGGATTCGAGTTCAATTCTTCAAAATTTTTTCCAAAGACTAGGAACGAATTTGTTTTAAATGTAGAATCCACATCCATAAGCAATTCTATGCTCAGAATTCGAATAAATTATCCTAATAAAATGTATTGTTGGAACATCAGAATCATTGATTCCAGTATTGATTATGTCGCCATAAGCATCAATTCTTAATATCCCGAAAAGCAATCTTCAAACGGCTCTAAACATGAAATTGAATGTCGGCATGTAATGACAATATGTGAATACCAAATTTATTTTGTCAAACTAGACATCGGTTTCTACCTTCATGAACGCAGTAGTGATTGCATATCCCAGCTGATGAATTTTAATCTCTCTGAAATCGTAATTTCTAGCAGAAAGTAATAGGTCGAAGTCAGACTGCTATTTGTTGTTCTATCCATACATAAAGATATATAGTAAAAAGAGGCAAATTTTCCGCTTTCTTTGCATGTTTCGTATGAAAACTAGTAAAAAAGCTGTAAGTTTGGCTGGGCGGAACTTTGAATACCCTCCACCATTCAGAACGAATTTGACTATTAAAAAACAATAAAATTCGTTAAAAATTCTGTTAAAGTCTTAAAAATACCGAATGTAGCCGTTACATTGGGGTCTTTACGACGACGTGGACCTGCATAGACAACTTTTGTTATAAGCCATTACAATACTCAATTGCGAAACTTGTAAAAAAATATCGGTGAATCATGTAGCTAAATTCATCAAAATACCGAATATAGGGAGGTACCGTTATATGGGGGCTATACAAACACGTGGACCTACATGAACCATTTTCAATACCAGAAGTTCTGCATACATAAAAAAAATTATCAACCTACTTCAATTCATTCGAAAGATGGAGTGATTTCCACAGACGGACGGACGTCGCTAAATATATACATTGTGGGGTCTGAATTGTATATTTCGAGATGTTACAAAGGGAATGACAAACTTAATATAGCCACCATACTATGGTGGAGGGTGTAAAATTAGGGGGACCAGTCTAAATTATACCTAAAAAGTTATTTAAAAGTATACTTGGATCTTCGAATAAAATGTTAAAAAAAAGAACAACAATTATGGGTTTGGTAGATCTTGTAGTAATTAAAATGCATAAATCCTGAGATCTTAAAAGATCTATATCTTTGATAATGGCATAAAAAATTGAAAAAATTCTAAATTAATTTAAGATAATGGGTCTGATAAGTCTTTGAAAAAAAATATATAAAAATCCACTATACTTTGTCTGATAGATTTTTGAAAAATATAATTTTAGAATCCTCAATTATGAGTCTTAGATAAATCAATGAAAATATAGCTAAATATCGTCCGTCATGAGTATAAATGATTATCGGATTCTCAATAAACTCACAATTATGGGTGAGAAAATAATAATTCGAAAGATATTCTGGAATAATTCTCGATTATGGTTACGTTAGACCTTCGAATGGGTCCAAAAGATTTTTTTTAATATTCAAAAAAAAAAAAAACGATTGAAGGTCAGGTTGATCCCCAAAGTTTTTTTTAAAGATCCGCGAATAAGACACGTCTATTAGAATGGTGCAAAATATTCTTATTTCACACTGCAAGTATTTTTTTCGTCGTTAAAATTTCATGTAGAAATCATTTATTATCTGTCAAATGTTTTCATTGCAAACAATGACAGGGATGCGCCGTATATTTACTTAGAAAATGCATTGCAATTCATTTGGTTTTTTTTTGTTTTTAATAGAAATGACTTCATATAAATGGATGAGAAAAGAAAACACATATGGCTGCTGTTGCTGTTGTTTTTTGGAAGAATATCTTCGAGAGTAAAATGATGGAATATTTACTTTAAGAAACACGTCATAAAATTTGTTTTTTTTTCTGCTTCTGCTTCTTCCATTTCAATTATTTTATTCAAATAATTTTGTTGAACAAATAAACAACAAAATCATTGAAATAAATAAAAAATAATAAAACAAAAGCAGACATATTCTCACATAAATATGACAATGATGACGGTTGTGCTGATGATGATGCTGATTTGAATTTATTAGCAAAGTTAACAACGTTTAATGATGAAACAATAGCTACGTATTTGGAAGGTATTGCGATATTTATGCAATTTGAATTGAAGTAATAATAATATTAGAAATCGAAACATAAAAGATGAGGAAAGAAATATTAATAGGAAACTTTGGTCTTATCATTTTCAGGGGTATTCCTAGATTTGTTTTATCAATACCAAAACCAAACCGAGTTCACCTTAAAAATTACCACATTAAATTTAAGTCATTCCAATGTGGGGACTTTTCCTTTCCAAAAATAATGATTCGAAAGAATTTTAGATAAACCTTCAAATAACGTTATTATACGTTAAATAGAATCTTTGGCCAATTTCAAACATTCCACTGTGGGGTTTTCTTTTGAGTTAGCCCTTCAAAAACTCTTGGTCTAGAAGCTTCTTCCAAATACAGGGTGAGATGAAAAAAATTGCACCCAACTTCAGACTGCTGCGGAAGAAAACAGCAACATCAGAAATGGTTTGAAAAGTAAAGAAGCGACTTGATCGAACGTCACAGTGACTAAAAAATAGCTCGTGAGCTGAACAATCGCAATATTCTGTTCGGCAAATATTGAAAAATGAGCTCGGGGTAAAGCCATTGAAATTTCAAAAAGCGCAAGAACTTACACCGCAACAGAAAGAAAATAGACTCAAAAGAGCTAAAGATTTGCTTCGTTGGCCGAAAGTGCTGAATTTGACGAATTTGATTTTCTCCGATGAGAAAACATTCGTTGTCCAGCAGTTTGTAAACAAACAAAATGATCGTGTTAACTTGCCAAAGAGGTGAGCTGAAAATGTGCACCTTCGGTTGGCCACCACAACTCAAGCGCCGATCATGGTAATGGTGTGGGCCGCCATAACAGCCGATGGCCGCTCTCCGCTCGTATTAATCGACCGTGGCATCCGAATAAATGCCGAATATTATAGCGAAAATAATCTGCTCGTAGACTTTGGACATTGCCATAGGACTCAGCACGCGCCACCCAAGAATGGTTACAAAATAAGGTTTATCTCACTCTGTAAAATGTCACTCCCCTGCCTGGTCCAAAGAAAAGTTTGTCTAGAAGTATTTGCGATACTTCAAAGTTTTGGTTTTACTAAAAATATAACAAATGTGTTTCAAACCCATATTCACCCAGAGTCAGAAAATTTGAGTTAGGTCGCTGTGGGGTCCCAAATGCTTGTACCCCGTAAAAGTATTACTCCAGATGTATTTAAAAAAATTATCTAAAAATACCTAGCTGGCATATAAACAATTGTATTTAATTCTAAGAATTTAAATAACAGTTTTAATGATAGAAAAACTTGTGGTGATGGTAAAAACAAAAATAAAACAACAACAAGAAATTCCATAAGAGCATATGACAGGAGACATAAATGGGTGCAAGTGGTTTTTCTGATGCTACACGGCGTGTATGTCCGCCGTTCGTCATATGCTCTGTGGTCGACAAACATCCGTACTATTTTTATTCATCTAGACATGCAACATGGACCCAGACAACAACGGCGACAGAAATTAATGAAGAAATAAATATTTCCTCAAATTAGCTTTTAAGATATTGTAAAGAGTGAAGCGTCTTTGGTTTTTCAGGAAAACCAATTTTTACAGAAAAAAATTAAAAATAATAATAAAAATAAAAATTTAAAAAAAATATAATTTTAATGGTATAGAATTAGAGCAATATTTGAGAAAATAAGCAAAGGAGGTTTGTCAGACATGGCGTTGCAGATTTTGTCTAAAAAACACAAAAAACAAGTATATACTTTGGGCAATTGATTTGGAATCACGTTCTAGGAAGATTTATGGGAAAGATACTAAAATTGTTAAAAAAAATGATTTTGCATTTAGTTATAGCTCCCACAATCAGTTGCAGGAATGCAATACCTCTATTTTAAATTTTATGGACATTTTAAAAGGGGAACACAAATCACTTCTAAAAATACTTTACATAAATAATTGTGTAACATGTTGCGATCATAAATTATTACATAGACGAATCTCTTCCGTTAGTTTTCTGTGTGCTGTTGAAATAACAGCAAACCTGTCATCCCCATAATTAAGCTGGATGTGTACAGCATCAGATGCTTTCTCTCGTGTGCTTGGTTTACAAAACCGGTAGGGTTATTTCACTCCTTTGCGTATCCATCTAATCAGTAATAATTGATTATAAGCATAGCGCTTAGATGGTATCTGACCATGATGATTTCTTTTTCTGCTGCTACCAATAGATATCCATGGAATGTTAGAACAACTTAATAGATGGAACGACTGGATGATAAGTTAAGATAATGATGGTTAAGACGTGACAGGTTTTCTTTTTCTATTTAAAAAAAAAATATATATATATATATATTGTTGATGTTGGCTACTGAATTGAGTCGTAAAGTAAGGCGACCGGTTTTATAAAGTTCTTTGAACTTTTTCTAATTGTTATACATGTATCATTAATAAGTCAATACCGATTAAGAATAATGGTATATTCAAGATACGTAGGAAATTATAATTAAGACTGTCGGTATTATAACAAAGTAATACGGAAGTCTGGATATGTCCTTGTTTATGTCCAAAAAATACGGGGTAGACCAGTATAATAGATTTTTTCCAATGACAATTACAATTATTATTATGTGAAAAAGTCGCTTTACATATAATTCTATACCAAAAAACGTGGGGATTTTTTGAATAATGACATTATGGGGAATTTATACGACTGTGTCTCATACGAATATTGTGTGCATAGCATTTTATCCTTTAAGAACTCAAAATACTTGGGATCAATTCCGATGCCAAATATATATATATATAAAAAAAAAAAAAAAAAAAAAAAAAAAAAAAAAAAAAAAAAAATATATATATATATATATATATATATATATATATATATATATATATATATATATATATATACATTGAAGTTTTCCGCCCATGTTAAGCGATTTTAAATAACCATTGAAAATATACAAATTTTGACCTATATAGTTAATTTATATATATCCTGAAAATAATATAGATATTCCAATGGGTATTTCTTTCCAATAATCATTTGAGGAAGAAAGACGCAGTCTGTTAGTTTATATTCTTACCTTATGTCTCAACAGCATGTTTGGCTGCTGATGCATATCACGATTATTGCGATTTCGCTCGATGACAGTCCGGCAGTCATCGCATAAACTCCCGATATTATTGTTATAGTAAAGGCCAGCCTTTACATTTCTCGATTTGCCAATGCCATTGGAAATGCTCATGGAGCGTTGCGATTCACGTGAAACTTTTTTGAATTTCGATGGCAGTGTATAGTAGTAGTTCTCCTTATCCTGTTGCGTTTCAACTGCTTGCTGTTGTTGTTGCTGCTGCTGCTGCTGCTGGCCGTCCATGGCCGTCGAACTTTGCTGAGAATTACGTTCGTTTTCTGATTGTGATGTTGACGAGTCATCAATGAATTTAAATTCATTATTGGCAGAGTCGAGTATCAATGGTGTAGACCCACTTAACGGTGATGTGGGTGTGGAAATGGGGATAATATGTTCCACTGGATCGTCCAAAACACACCCTAAACTACTGGAACGTGCTGATTTTTCAATGGCTTTTGCTTTGGCCGATATCAGTTCACCTTTGGCACTGATAATCAATTCAACGGGGCGGGATACCATAATGGTGCGGGTTGAGGTAATGGTAGTGGAACGTAAAAATTCGGTTTTATGCGTTAGGATGGGAGGACTGTTGCACTGTGATAGTGGTGACTTTGGGGTGCAGGGCGCTGATGAGGGACAGGAGGCGGCATGATACGATTTTGTCGAAGAGCCTGTCGACTCAAGACGCACAATTTCCACATTTTGCCTCTGCTGCGTTTCAAAAGTACTACAGGGAATCGCTGGAGGTGTGACCACATTATCATAGGGTGAGGGAGGTTCTTTGAACGTCGTCGTCGAGGTGGGCGTAGTAGGTGTTGTTGCATCGCAGGGTGTTCTATATGAAGCTATGCTGGCATAGGGATTAATCGAGGGAGATCTTGGTGGCGAGCAGGTAGTTGGCGTTGTGGAATCCGGTGTTATGGTGGCACTGGTATCATTACTGCTGCTGCTACTGCTGGTAACCGTATTGGGCGAAAGTGGCGGGGTATGGGAACGTGATTTCGGTGTGATGGCACAACAGCATCGGGCACAAATGGATGCCGTTCGCGATTTACGCTCATTGTCAATTAAATTGTCGGTCGAGGTGCCGGGCGCGGGGCTATATGGTTTTTGATTCACATAGAATGTACTGGAGGGCAAATCTATACAACTACGTTGATATTGTTTATCCACATCGTAGAGCGAATTGGAAGATTTCTTGTTTTTTGGTTGCCGTCTAAGAGAGCTAAACCAATTTGATATTGAAGGCCGCTTCTGTTGCAAAGAAGCCATGATGGTGGTTGATGATTGTAGAGGAGTTTAACGCCAAAATATGGAGTATTTCTTGTTTATGTTGTTGTTATTCTCTTTGCTATATTAATGAACACTATTGTTATTTGGAAACTAGTTTTTTATTTTCTTTAATTTTATTTTATTTTGGATTTTTAATATCACAATTTATTTCTGGTTTAACAATTTCTTGCTTATCTTTTGAATTTTTTTAATCTGAAAACAGAAATATGAGGAACATTTATTTAATGTTAAAAATATTTGCGGTTTTAAAATATTTTCACATTTTGCTTTTACACAATATTCTTCTTGTTTTACACTTGTTTTCCTTTGTTTGTGCTCAGCGTTTTGTCATGTCCAAACATTGCGGCTAACCAAATAATACTGAAGAAGAGCCAAGAGCTTCTTGACATTGATTTCTTCACCAAACCCGTCTGCAGTCAACTGGTCCGGCAGCCAGTTCAAACAACTCAGCGAAACCAACAACATGGAATTATTCTTCGAAAACGTATTTATGTCTTCATTGAAAAGTTGGATTCCTTTGAAAATGTTACCCCTGGGAAGTTGACGCTTTATTACCCCAAGAAAAGCGCAAATAAGAAGAAAATAAAAGTCAAAACAAAGTAAAATGTCATTGTTCAAGAAAATGCCAACACCAAAAGATACAACACCTAACAACGAACAGCACAACCGAATCTGACCATTAAATTAGATTTGTTGCTCCCCAGACTTTGGGGACGCGGTCGTCGTTGGGGCCGTCATCAGAGCACAGAAAACAAACAAATTACGCTAATGCGTGTTCAAATGCAGACAAAGCAGCAAAAGTAAAGGAAAAACCCCCAGACACGAGAACCGAGCGACCGAGCGAGTGAGAGACAAAAATAAACACCTCAAGGGTTTGTAGCCGGCTTACAACAATAGAAAAGTTGCAGCAACAACAAAAAAATTTCAACACAAAATCACTTCCGTTTCCCAAGAAACGCATTTAAACGCTCACACACATACAAACAAACAAACCGCTAATACCAACTCACTTGATTCAAATCTCTTAAATTTTCCACCAAAGACAAAACACAAAAGATATTTTGAAGTTGGAAAATTTTTGGCCAATAAAACAAAAAAGGGGTTTCGACATTCAGCCTGTGCTAATTTAATCTTGGGCTTAGCGTTTTGTTCAGGGGATTAAAATGTAATCTCTATGCACCTTGTCGTATTTGGTGATTTAAAAAAAGTTTTTTAACAAAGTAGGGACATGATTTATGAACCGTAAAACTGGATGTCTGATATTAATGAGTTTAAGTTGGGGATTATGAAAAGCAATATTACTATGGTTAGGAAAAAATATTCTACATTTTTGAAGCACCCGTTGATAGAAATGTCAATCTAATGAAAGGTGAGGAAAATATTTTTTAACTGATTCACACTTTCTATTACTTGGACTAACTATTAACTTATCGATATTTCTAATTCATTCCCTGATAGGGAACTATTTCTTTTGTCTACTTTGGAATTCAACCGTTCCTTCAATTCAATATTTATTTATAATTCCAGTTCCGATAGTTAGATCTACGAAATAGGCTTCTTGGGGGGCTAGTCAAAACATTGTCCTACATTGGAAAATATTTGTTGGAGAAATTTCTGCCCACCGAGAACCAAAAATGGAAACACCTTAAAATAATCGAACATTGAGAAGCTCTATTAAAACAATTATTGTGAAGATAACCTAAATTTATTTTGATATTTTAAAACCTTTTTCCTGAAAAAAAAATATCTTAACAAATTTTTGCCGATAGTAAAAACTTATAAATTAACCTAGTAACTCATTATTTTCGCTAGGGCATTTCGCCCGAAATAAATAATTATTATTTGGCTATTAAAAGGCAACAATAAAAGTCAATAATAATAGCAAATTGTTTTTTGTTTTGATTTTCAACAACTTTATTATACCCTTAGCCATACGGCTACAGAGGGTATATATCATTTGATACGGCCTAAACGTACCTCATAGAAATAACGGTTCTAGACCCTAGGACCCTTTGCATCAAATCCGTTTCAGGAAATTTGGAGTCGTTCTATGGGTTTCAGTCTGCCTCGTGCTCGGAATAAAGGGATATCAACAGTTTGACCGAAACGACCATCGGCTGAGGGTATAAATCTGTCGGCAAAACCAACTAATACTTTTTAACTTGTAACAAGTTAAAATTGAGAGATCAATAAATATTTGCCTCTTATTTCAAGGCCATATAGATTTCAACGGCACCCTACGGATTCATACTGGGTGACTAACACTGAGTTTATGGTTGCTTTGTTAGATATTGCTGGCAATTCACGAAGGACACAAGTATGTTTAAGGTCATATCTCAACTAAAACACACTGTAATCCTAATGATTTACAAGTAAATTTAGCATCCTTTCAAAAATGTTTCTCACAAAGACTATCTTTCACATTTTAATAAAAAATAAGTAATTCCATCTTAGAAAAAAGCAAGTAGAAAACCTGATAACTCCCTCCGGGTCGAACTTTTAACACCTTCCAACATTTGGAAGGAACTGGAAAAATAAATCCATTTAAATGATGTCATTCATACGGGGGGCTATACGAAGACGTGGTTTTAGTACAATTTAGATCTTTAAATAAGAAAATTTAAACAATTCCGGCGAATTATGTCGCTAAAATCATCAAAATATCGAATTAAGTTAAGAGAGATACTGTTATATGGGGACTATGAAAAAATCCGTGGAATGATGTTACTAAAATCATCAAAATACCGAATATTGGGAGGTGCCGTTATATGGGGGCTATACGAAAACGTGGACCATCAACGAACTTAACCTGTCTATTGGCAATGTTGTGTGTTCTATCTCAATTCGTTCGAAAGACAGCTTGATTACAACAGGCAGACAGACGGACATCGCAAAATCGTCTTAGAATTTTAAGCTGGTCCAGAATGTATATACTTTGTAGCGTCAATCATGAATATTTCGAGGAGTTACAAACGGAATGACAAAGCCAATATACCCTTCATAGAATGGTGGAGGTTATAAAAACATATTCCGCGGGCTGAATTTGATTAATATTTGATAAGGTCTGCCACAGTGTAGATATTAAGCTTTACATTTCATTTGTTTACACTGGTTTAAATATTTGCGTATCCACTTAGAATTTTGATATTTGTGAAAGGTGGTTAATTTGTATTTTCTTTGTCATCTTCGTAATTAATTCACATAATCCTTCAACATTTTGAGAGAGTCAGCAAATGTTCATTTCAGATATAGCAGCTTAAGGGAAACTCTGATGGGTTGTTTTTATTTTTTTTTTACTTTTATATATAACAATTTCAAATGTGACTTTTTAATGAATTTTTTTTAAATTTGAATTTTTGTATAAAAACATATATAATTTATTTATTTTTTAAAAAACCATTCCAATTTTGTGAAATTTGTGATTTAGTGTATTTGACGCTTATCCAAAATAAACATCCAATAATTTCACACATTTCTTTTCATAATTTTCACAAAAACAAAAAAATCAAATTTTTGCCAAATTTTATCTGGATATTTTCGATCAACGGTCGTTTTAACACAATCGGTTTATTGTATCCACATGAAAGACCGATATCCGTGTTGTGAAACGTATTAATGTTGTTTTGTGCGGTGTAAACAATCGAAGCGAGATTTAACGCGTATGAAGAACTGGAAGGTATTTTTGTTTGTTTGGCAAATTGTGTCATAATGATAATGTCAAATAGATATATTCAAAATCTATAAATTTTATAAACATTTAGTTTTTTTTTTCTTAACATCTCACAATGCATATTTTGGCTAACATTTTTTAAAACGATTTTGTTTTTTTTTTTGTTATGCAATTGAACAGTAGACTTCAATATTTTCATATTATTTTTTCCCAACATGTAGGTACCAATGTGGCATATTTCATTTCTATTTTATTTTGATTATTTAACACAATATACTTCTTGTTGCTTTTTTTCTTTTTTCAAACCTTTATTTTGTTTTTATTTTCGTTTTTTCCTTTGCACTTTGTATTTAATTGATATTCTTTATCTATGTACGTATGTATGTATGTATTTTGTTTATAATTTCGCACTTCCTTTTCGCACTGGTCACACAGAATATCATTCCATTATCATAGCAGCAAATTCTGCTTCATTAGTTAATCACAAACAAAAGAAAAAATTTCGGACGCTGAATCACTCTTTAAAAAAATAGGTACCTTTTAAAAACCAAAAACAATACTTTGTTGTTATATGTAAAATTTGTTTGCTTTTGTATTAAAATTCCACAGAATAATATAGAATGAATTTTTTGTTTGACGTACATTTATTTATTATTATTTTGTTTGTTTTTTTTTTTTATTGTTATTATTTAGCGCAGAAAATCGCGCACACGAATTGGCCAATTAGCCGTAACGGCAAATACATGTCTCTCCCACGGCGTACAAAAATCAACTAAAGTCGACAGTGTGCTTTGGCCTTGCTCACACACCGCAGTTCATTCATAATATCGTAAAAATTAAATTTGATTCTCTCCCTTATTGCTGTTTGCGGTCTCTAGGGATTTTTGTTTTTCTTTTTCGTATTCTTTGGCTCTCTCTCTGTTCTCGGAGAGCGTAGGTACACATGCGGTCATCACCAGTGTTGCCGTTTTGGGCGTTTCCGTCCAAATTTGGGCGGAAAAAAGATACATTTTGTGGTTTGGGCGGATTTTGGGCGGATTTTTTCCATATTGGGTACAAATTTATTTTTCATTGTTTATTTTTACGTAATTTAATTTTTTTATTACTAACTGAATTTTATATTTTTTTATTGAGATGAATCGTTATTTATTTTATAGATTTTTGTTAAGTTTTTTAATAATATATATAATACATTAGGCTATAGTCCTGCGGGGCCGACCATGTGATACCCTACAACACTACAATATGTTAGAAGCCCCCTCATGTCCAAATCCATTTTGGAAGATTTCGCTTTTGAAATTATGTCACGGAGCACTGCCCAGATATTACCCTTAGCATTTTGACCAGGGACATTTTCCCAATATTTATGCACTCCGTTGTGCTGTTAGTTTTTGTGGTACATTTTACGGCTAAATATATTCCAATGGTCATCCAAAATGCCAGAATTCTTCCGTGTCGATTGGCTTCAATTGTGTGATCAGGAATTTTTTTTCTGTTTTTGGTTCATTTAAACCCCTAAATATTTTGCGATCATCTCCAAAAGCAAGAGGCCCCTCTGTGCCTCCAAATTTAGACTCATCTATATGATTTGCTTGTCTACGATATTTGGCTACATTCGTCAACGAAATCAGCATAAAAAAGCCAGAAGTTCGCCTATTGTGTATCGCCTGTAAGTAATGTTGATATTTTTTTACACAAAAGTAGTGGTCCATTCTACCCGCTGTCCTAAGCTCTAACTTCATGCGAGATTTCGTGTCCTTAGGTTTATATTTGGGACCTTTATAACGGCTGCAAAATCAGGAACATTTTGAGTTGCTGGTAAATTTCAACCCCTAAATATATTGCGGACATCTTTGAAAACAATAGGCTAAGCTCTTCTGAGCCTAACCCTACCTTTGTGAAAAATTTCGTGAGGATCGAACGATAATTGCAATCTGTATATAAATAATAACCCTAACCTGTGTTGTAAAGTGAAAAAATATTACAAAACAAATACTTCAATATTATAAGTCAATTTGAAAAAATCGCATGCGATAAAAAATATAAAAAATAAAAAAATGTCACAAAATACTACAAAATCTATATGAACATCATTATTGGTATCTTTTTGTTCGATTTTTTAGTATTTATACATTAATGCCACAAGGGCATTCTAAATTGACAAATTTTTTCAAAATCGCTCCAGCCATTCTGAAGATATAAGCATTCTAGCTGACATCCCCTTCCTTTGTATATATACATTGTATATATTTCTCTATATATATCCGATATTTTTACTATCGGCATCTACGTAACGGTCAGAATTGACCTGTTCGTCTATTTGTGATTTCGCTGGCAGTAAAAATATTCGCGGATTAATGGAAAATTTGACTTTTATTTATCGCAAATGCTATGGTCTACTAAACCACTAAATATTACCCGATGACCATCAAAATTGGAAGGCTTCTGCCCAGCCCAAAGCTTTAGCCCCATGCTAATTTCCGCGTCGATTGGTCCACAATTGCGACCTGTAGAGCAACTTTTTGGTTCATTTCAACACCTAAATATTATGCGATCATCTCCAAAGGAAATAGGGTTCTATTCTGACCTTAACCCCAGCTACATTCTAAATTTCGTGAAGATCGGGCCATAATTGCGACCTATAGAATGATTACAAATTAACATGGACAGACGGACGGACGAACATACATAGCTAGATCGACTCAGCTCGGTGAGATAGGAAGATCCATATATACTTTCCTATGTGGGAAACCAATATTTCGTGGTGTTACATAATTTTTGGCCCAATCAAAGTTATAATCCCCCAACACATAGTGTTGTAGGGTATAAAAACCTGAATAATAATAATGACTTTAATGTATTTAATACATTGAATTCTTGTATAAACTTGAAGTAAAATAACATACAATTTTTATTTTCTCTAATGTATTTAATACATTGAATGTAATAAAATTGAGTACCTTTTTTATGTATAGTGTAAAATTTTCAATAAAATTTACTTGAATACAAACTACATATAAATTATTCAACTTTTTACAGTTTGGGCGGATATGGTCGATTTTGGGCGGTTTTTAGAAAAAATTTGGGCTGAAATAAAAATTTCAAACGGCAACACTGGTCATCACTGTGAGTACGTAACGTACGTTTGTAAAGCAGGGATGGAAAATATGAATTTGCACTCTTTAGTTTTCATTAAATTTAGAGGATGCCAATCTAAAGAGTTGCAAATTAAAGACATATTCAATAGGTCATAATTAAGGATATTCAAATCTACTTTGGTTTTAAAAAAATATAAGCTTGGTGCAAAAATATTATGTAAATCATATATTCATGTTTTTAACTCCAGATTTAATAATGAATCGGTACAAAAAGTCCAGAATCCAGAAACTAGGTAAAAATATTCCAAATTTTGATATGCCTCAATAGGTAAATACCCGGTAAGCTGGAACTAATCGAGCAAATATTTGGGATTTTACCCAAATGTTGACAATATATTTTTTAGTTAAAAACAAATTAAAAAGTATTTTTTAAATATATTTTGACTTGCGTTATGACCTATTATGGGGGAGGTTCTGAAGGAGTGGGTCAATATTTTATATTACCTAAGCCTGATATAAATATTACAACGTGCCACATTTGAAAATTATAGGCAATTAATTGACTTTATATGAAATATGTGATAATTTTTGGAAAATATTGAAACGTATTTGAGTTATCAACTCAAAAACGGCCGAGGAAAATTTGATCAATACAGATTAGAAATATTTTTGTTTTTTTTTTTTTTTTTTTTTTGGGAACATTGCTGCAGCTATTTCTTTTAACATGCAGTGAAGATAGGGATTACCGTTCCTTCACAACTCATAGTGAACTTGATGAGGAATATTTTTGTTTTTGATATTGTTTTGTTTTAATGATGCTTTGATAGGAAATTTTTCCATAAACTCACATAAAGTACGGCTTTAACCCTAAAATGTGTTTTAATATATATAAAATCCTGGCCTTTAGATAAGAATTGCACTTTTGATGTCTTCTGAGATCTATATAACAATTTTATTACAGTTAATTTATAGAAATTTATAAAAAAACTTGCGTTTAAAGGAGGTTTTTGGCCATATTTTGAAAAAGGACGACAACAACCCATTTGGCTACTGGCCTGAAGGCCAACATTTTTGACGAATACAATACATACCCGTATTGTTATCAGTGATATTTCCAAAGACATCTTGAATCTGAAATGAATAATCTGAAATTTTCAAAAAATGAGAGACTTGCTTTTTTAATGTGGACACGGTTTTTTATCTCCAAAGCAAACGGAAGGCAATCGAACGCTTCGACGAAATTCTTATTGACCATTGTGAATGATTGCTTAGGTCTGGAGCATTCCCCCATTGAGTCAACTCCATGTTTTTTAAAATGAAACTGATAGCTTTGCAATATTTGCTGACCATACCGGCGAAGGAAATTGAAGTTTGGCTTTTTCTGCTTTTTGATATGACGACTTTGGTGAAAAGCAAGCTCTATAAGTGTCGAGCATTCACAAGTGAATGAGAATCACACTCAATTCTTGCCTTTTCCAAAAATCATCATAACAGATTGCAAATAATATCAGCACATTTTCCTCGAATTTTGTAGGAAATTTAAACGAGGCGTGAATTCCAAGGTTACTGATCTCTAATGGGATTTCTTTTTCTTATTGCCAGCCGTGAAAAATGACAACCAACATTAAGGCGTGAATGTAATAATGTTAAGACTTATTACCTTTCATTCCACAAAGATTTACAGCTTATCTAGGCGCAGGTAGAAAAATTGAAAAATCCAATTTCCCACAGTTGGCACATGGGAATGTTTCCAACTAGAAAATAACATATTTTACCTACAAATCTATAGGGAAATTGTGGGGGATTTCTCGATATTAAAAACGGATTTGAGGAAAAGCAAAGGTTTTAGAAACGTGTCACTTCACCGGCAGCAGAATTGTATCGAAATGTACATTTTTTAATTTGGCACGAATTATGCCCGTCAAACGCTGCCCGAATATTGTTCTGCGATATTTTGGCCCATTCCCGGCAAAGCGCTTACTTGAGGTGATCGACACTTTAATATTTTTAGTGCCATCCTTGCTTTCCAAAATTCTCCAGACACAATAGTCCAACGGATTGGTATCCGGAAATTTTGGTGGACATTGTTCGATGGAAATGAAGCGAGGAACCTCATTTTGTAAACATTCTGGGGTGGTGCGTGCTGAGTGCGATTGTGCAAGGCTTTAATACACCCTCCAGAATATTTTCGCGATAATATTTGGCATTTATTCTGATGCCATGGTCGATTAATACGACTATCGACTGTTATGGCGGCCCATACCATCACCATGGCCGACGCTTGAGTTCTGGTGGCCAACCGAAAGTGTACATTTTCAGGCAAGTAAACACGATCATTTTGTTTGTTTACAAACTGCTGGATAATGAATGTTTTCTCAACGGAGAAAACCAAATTCGGCAGTTCACCACTTTCGGCGAAACGAAGCAAATTGATACCTGTACAAAAATTTGTCGAAATGGTTTCAGATTTAGAAATAGTTCCCATCACCAACCCATCATGCACCAATATTTGTCCAAAAAACGGTAATCAATTCCGACAAAAATAAAAAATAGACTAAGTTTGTTTGGATATAGCTATACCTTTCACATAAACCATATATGATTCCATATTTTAGCCTGATATCAGATACAACAAAAAACATTTGGTCGCAATCCATTTAGATTAAAATTCAACTCT